TCTGTCTGTCTGTCTGTCTGTCTCTCTCTCTGTCTCTCTCTCTGTCTCTCTCTCTCTCTCTCTCTCTCTCTCTCTCTCTCTCCATCTCTTTTTCTGCTTTGATGTGCGTATATGATGAGTCGGGATGAATACAAAGATCGAAAATGATGAAAAGCGCCAGCGGAATCAGGGCTGATATCAAAATCAAAGACTGGAAACTGGGACCCACGAAGAGTTTTGACTGTCTTCTGGGAGCGATCCTCGCGTTTGAATGATAAAATACATGTGAGGCTTCGTGGTGAAATCAGGCACTGGTCAACATAACGGAATCATACAAAATGGCAATTTTCTCTCTGTTTGGAGTTTCTTTCTTTACCCAACACCTTTTTTGTCTGTTTTCAGTCACATTCCTGCATGGATTTCATATAAAACGTTGATCACAGGCACACAAAAATGAACACGTGCACTTTTAAAGACTCTCTAAAGCTGGAACTAAACAAAATTTGGCACGACAGTTATATGACCTTTTTGTGTTGCAAGTGCCGTAAAACTCTTACGAAAAAACAAAAAAACAAAACAAACTTACGCAGCCATTTCGTCGCCAATTTTACCTCCCACATTAGGCGACCCCCACCTCAATTGCAAATTTCTTGACTTCTGTTCAAGAAAGGTGGGTTTTTTTCATCAAAAGAAAAATGAATACTAATCATTTCACATGCCCCAAAGCTGACGAGAGGGGGCTCTCGTGGCCTAGAGGTTAAGGTGTTGGCCTCTCATTCAAAAGGTCCCGGGTTCGAATCCGGTAGCGACCGAAAAATTTTCTTCTCTAAATTTGTCTCCTTTCACCTCATTTCCGGCTCTCTAGCAATGTTCTGTCGTCTGCTTTCGTCTCCTCTTTCTGCCCCCACCCCCTCACCTCCTGTGCTCCTTCCTCTGGGCTCCTGATTCTTTCTGCAGCCTTTCTACTGCTACTCCTTCGCTTCTTCTTACTGCTGTCTTTCAACCCCACCCCTGATCTTCTGGTAGGAAAGATCT